TATGGGAACTGAATAGTTTGAGGAACTGAGGAATATGGTTAGGTATCTGAGTCAACACGAATTTGTATGTTGAAGTGCCCTGGTAGGGGGACAGGAATTGGGGTAGAAAGAAAGACTGTGACCCTGAAACTGAACTGATTGAGGTAAGAAGGAAAATGTCCTGTGGGGAGATAGATAATGTAGATAATAGCTACCAGGATCTAAACTGAGAAATATTTGGCTTGTGTGACCCTTCAAGGAGGAGAAGTTGCAATGTGACCAGTGAGTCTAGGAGTATGAGAGAAAGTGTAGTCAGGGATATAAAGGGCTACCACAAATAAAGTGTTACTGAGAAGGAGTGAGAAAGAGTGAGAAAGGAAAGGATTTTAGGTGAATAAAAATGTATTAACTATAGAAGAGGCATTCCAGAAGACACAGTAAAAGGGGTGACACTATCTAGAGTGGGACACTAGGGGAGTGGGATCAAGGTATATGAATAAGGGAATAGTGATTTGGGATGGAGAATGGGTTTTGTACAGAGGCACCAGATGGATTCAGAATCATTGGGATAGAAATTATAAGGGAGTAGGAATATGCTTACCATCGAATGAGTCTATGCAGAGTATTGATGGTTAGAGAGAGGTAACCCCTGCTAGTGGTAGGTGATGATATATCCAACTTCACAGCAGGAAGGATAACAAAGATATGACCCAGGGAATCCAGGAGGTAGCATTTTGAGGGGAATCAGTACTAGAGAAGGCCTGAGGGTGAAGATGGAAGCTCTTATTAAGTAGTTGCTTTGTGTCAGTTATTGTTCTAGGCAAAGTGATTCTCATGCAAAGCACTAATATCTGTGAGGATCCTGAGAAGCCTTAAATACAGAGTGGTGCTTAAGCTGACCCTGGTAGAAAAAGGTAGAGATAAGTAAAGAGAGAATTCCAGGCATATGCAAAGACTAGGTATATACGGTTGGACATAAGAGATTGTGTTTGAGGAACAGCAGATAACTTATTTTAGATGGAATGTAAAGTACAGGAAGAAAAGTAGTGTGATATTAGTCTGGAAAGACAGGTTGGATCCACATTGTGAAATGCTTTAAATGCCAAACAGAAGATGTCTCGTATACTAGATGTAATAGGAGCCACTGAAGCTTCTGGAACAGACCTGTGCTTTTAGAAATAATCAGTTTTGTCATAAAACTTTATTACTGGTCAGTAACCACCCACTTCCTTTTACCCTACACCTATCTTAAGGGGCATTTCTAGGCTTTGACTCAGAAATTTGATTTACCATCTGGGTTTTATGTTTGATTCAATTAACTTTGACTGAATTATCCAAATTGATTTTTAGATCAAGTGCTCTCTTACCTGGTGGCTCTCCAAGGGTATTTGGTAGCACCACATCCCCTTTTTTTCTCATTTTCCCAGGGTTCTCAACAGGGAGGAATGTATAGCATGGTTTGCCCACAGGCTTTATAGGCAACACTGCTTCTAAGCCTGGTTTTGACTTCCCCATTCCTCTTCTCCCCAGTGATTTCAAAGCATTAGGGAAAGAAGGTAGAATCTTCTCACAAAGAGCCTGAGTGCCCCTTGGTCTCCATTGTGTCAAATCAACTAGTGAGTGATGCACCTTCCCAAAATCTGTGCAAAGTAGTCATGCTGTGTAGGCAGTTTATCACCCCTCAACTTGCAGTCCTCCCTTTCCCATCCCCAGTCATCCATACTTAGGATTCTTTTATTAAAATCTGTTTGTTCCATTTGTACTTTCTTAAGTCCTACTTCCTTCTCCCTTTTCTGCTCTCTCCTTATGTGAAAATTAAATTTTAATGAAATCAAATATAGATGGATACTCCTGCAAATAAACCTCGAATTTTTCTCTCCAATATTTCATATTGACATAGGTGACATCTGCTGACAGAAGCAGAATTTATGTGTAGTATTCCTCTTAGGTGAAGCTGCCTTTTGCAAATAACAGATGGAGCCATTAGCAGCCTCTCCCATCTCTTAGCCAGCACAGCTTAGTTTTCAGAAGCTGACAGGGCAGCAATATGGCTTTGATGACCTGTGGCCACAGAAGGACTCCTGGATGCCTGCCACACAAGAGCCCCTTGCTTACAGATGTCTAAACTTTACTTTTTTCCCCTCCAAATCTTAGACTGTCTAATTTTGGAACCCAAAGGCAAAGTTCACAACTAATGTGCTGAGATGCTTTGCTGAAACATGAACGTTTGGAGCTTGGGCTCTGCTGTATTAAAAAAATGAACGGTATTTAACACACACTTACAGAATGGCCTGCTAAATCATAATACCAAGAAGGCTGAATGGTCCAAGAACAGAACTGCAATACTGGCATTTATATGAACATCTTGCAGTGAAGTAAGGTGCAGGATAGCAGACACAGGTTTCTACTACACACTTAAAGCAACCAAAGGAGGTAGGGGTGGGGAAAGGGATGGTATTAATACCATTTTGCAGACCTCTCTCCATCCATAGTCATATTACTAGTGCTACTGGAAAGGAGTATTGGAGACAAGATATAAAATGGTTTTAAAATGCTTCATTCTCAGAAGGAAAAAAAAGATTCTTTGTGGGCCTTCTCACAAATTTCAATCCAAGTGAGACATTAGGTCTGGAGCAGTTCATTAAAATGAGTTTATTTCAGTACTTTTGTTTCATTTTATTTATTTTTTAAGAAAGAGATTTCTGGTATCTAGATTTCTATCTACTGAAATGTCCTTTGGTGTATTTTTCCCTGGAGGGCTGACTCATTTTAGTGAGGTTTTCAGTTTTGTATTAAGGTATAATATTTGTATCTTATTGCATTCTAGTTATAGCTTCCTCAGTCTTCTTTCGCAATAAGCTACATTTTATTGTGGTACTCTATATTTATCCTAATGCTCAATAACTAGAACTATTTCTCTCATTTTTCTTTGATGTTAGTATTTGGCTGTTATGTTTATTGAAGTGAGGCATATAAACATCAGAGAAGTGAATATGAGAAAAGAAGGAATAGAAAGGGAAGAAAAGATGAAGCAGAAAAAATTTGCCCAAAGGTTTACAAGTTGCTTTTACTCTGATTTGAAGTTATAATTGCCTAAACAGTCTGATTTTGTCTTGAAAATCTTTTTTAAAAATCACTAAGTTGTCAAAAGAATAAATTTTCTAACCTAGAAAATTGCTATGTTAGTGTCTCAGGATTTTGAAAGGCCTATTCCACATTTACCAACCATAAGCCCATTTAGCTGGGCAGCTAGGTAGCACAGCGATAGAGTACCAGGCCTGGAGTCAGGAAGACCTGAGTTCAAGTGTGGCCTCAAACACTTGCTAGCTGTGTGACCTTGGCAAATTACTTAACCCTGTTTCTTCATCTATAAAATGAGCTGGAGAAGGAAGTGAAAACCACTCCAGTGTCTTTGCCAAGAAAATCCTAAATAGGGTTACGAAGAGTCAGATACAACTGAAATGTCTGAACGAACCCATTTAGACCCCTCTCCTTCCATTGCTATCTATCATCACTTTGCTAAGAAAGCCCCAGAGGCAATGTGGTATAGTGAAAAGGGTACCAGACTTGGAATCAGGAATTCACCCTCTAGTTCTAATGTATTAGATCTCTGGCTGTGGGCAAGTCATTGAACTTCCCTGAGGCTCAGTTTCCTAATCTGTAAAATGGGGACAATACATAAGCTGGAAAGGACCTTCCAGGTCATTTAGTCCAACCTCATCATTTTACAGATGAGGAAACTGAGGCCCAGAGAGCTACATTGTGACCTGCCCAAAGTCATATGTGACTTAGGTAGTAAGTGGCTGACCAGCTGGAGATAGAAATCAGCTCCCCTGATTCTAAATCCAGCACTTTCCGCTATAACACACTAATAAACATGCCTTTCAGGGTTCTTGATGTGATATGCATTAAGTACTTTGCAAACCTTAATATGCTACCCAAATATCAGTTGGTATTATTCTGTTGTTAATTGTTGTTACCCCTCCTATCTTATTCTCTTCATCTTTTTTTTTTTTTTAAATGGAGTTCTGCTCAATATGGCCTTGGGACAAATCGCTGCCCTGATAGTACATCTTATATAGTTTGTGCTCTGGTAACTCTAGCCTGGTAGGGTAGAATAACTTGCTTTCTGTAGTTGAATAAAAGTATTAGGCTGAGCCTTTATACACTCACTGAAAATATTCTTGGTACAATTCCAGTATCAATAATTAAATGTATTCCAGATTTATGTTGCATCTGATTTCTTTTATTTCAGGAACACAAATTGATTTAAAAAAAAAAGTTCTCAGAAATTGTGTTAAAAAGCTAAGACCACAAAGATTAAATAACTTAGAATAAGATATTTTCATCCAATTTGTTCTAGATATGTAGCATGGTCTAAACTTTTATCAAATTGGAAAGAATCTTTTTCTTCCCAAGGGCCAGCAATTAGAATTTTCTCACATAATGGATTATTAAGCAATGTGATCTGATAGCCGTATTTAGGGGAGATTGCAAAATCTTTGCCTCTGAAGCTTGTACAGATAGGCAGGTTTAGAATGATTCCCACGAAAGCTTCAGGTTTTCACTAAACTTTCCAGAATTCTTATTCTCTGTGTTTGTCTTCACTGTTTCAGGAATATCCATTAACATTCTTTCAAGATTGAGTAGTAGAAAGATGAATTTAAATGATGAAAAAAAATCTGACTGTTACTTCTAGAGCTAGATACAAGCAAAGATGACACTTATTTAGAATACAAATGAATTTTTAGCATAAAAATGCATACTTCCGTAAATCATAGTAACTGTAGGAGGGAGGCATTTTTATTGAGATTTTCCCAAAAATAATTATCAAAGTATGTGACAGGTTTCTAGAAATTATTTTAAATCATAACATGCATGGGTTCTTTTGTGAAAAGAAATATTCCTAACACCAAATTTCAATTAGGAAAGAAAACTGGAGCGTCTTTATTGAAATTAATGAAATTACTTGCATGGCTAACCCTAATTTTATTGAATTCATTTTTTTTAATGCCTAACAGAGAAGAAAATCACGATATTCGGACCTTGACTTTGAAGTAAGTTTGCATGAATTATTTTGTATTGTAAGTTATTTAACTATAAAAACAATACCTAAGCTTAACATTCTGTATAGATAGAAAACTTAATTTTCTAATAACATCAAGCAAAACCCAAAAATATTTAAGGATAATTCACACTATATAATTGGTAGTTAACAAAATTATTTGTTGTTTAAAATGCACGAAGAATATTCTGAAATGAAATTTTCCAGGACGAGAGCAAATCTATCTGCTGACAAAACAAGATCATGTGAAGATAGAGAAAACATACTAAAAAATTTTAATGAATGGACACAGCAGGAAGGGAGTGGGGGATGATGGGGGCTATTGAAAGGGAGTATTAGTCAAATAATTTACTTCTAGAGGACTGTCCAGGAAAAGGGAGCCTTACTAATTTTTCACCCTATCCCCCACTTTTAGCAATAAAAATGGCTCACATTTGTATAGCACTTTAAGGTTTGCAAAGCAAGTTCTTCATTATTGGGAAGGTAGTGCAAATGTCAAAATTTCCATTTTATAGATAAGGAAACCCAGGCTCAGAGAGGGGAAATAACCCACTATCCAGAGGATAGTAAGTGGCAGAACTAAGTTTTGACCACAGGTCTTCTGACTCCATTTCTTCCTTTCTGCCCTGACATGTGCGGGTGTTCTCTAAACACATCCCATTAAAGTGTTGTTGAGCTTTCCCTTCCCCTCCCCTTTTTCTAAAACTGACATATTATGCCATACTGCATTTTGTTGAGAGAAGTTTTTATCTTTGACACAGTCACCAATGTCTCCCTTTATTTCCATCATTTATGTTTTCCCTTACACACCTAGGTTCCTTTTTCCTAAGGCTAACTGATTGCCCAGAGTGCTCCTGTGTTTAAAAAAAAAATCCATTTCCAAAGATATAAACAAGATAAACATTTTCATTCTCTAATTTGTCCCAAAATGATATTGGCAATGGAATATAGATGTTGGAAATTACTGCCAGTGTACTATTTGAGCAGCTTCTGTTAAGTACCAAATTAACGATTTTTAGGGTTTTATTTATGCATCTAATTGGATAAGATTATTTCCTATTGACATAATTGAGGATAATCTGTTACACATTTTTCTAAGCATATTTGGACTTCTGTAACAATTGCTTAGAACTCAATAAACCTAGGGACAGTTTCCAAACTTCTCAGGAGAGAAGTTCTTCCAAACAGAGCTAAATGAAACTTTCTGTTTGAATCAAATCACTAACTTGGATATGAATATAAAAGTCCATTTTACAAAGCACATTATATGCCTGAGGTTTGACTTGCTTGTTGTTTTTCAGGATTACTAGTGGCTAAGCACTTTTCTCCCCCTAAACAGTGTCTAAGGAAAAATAGACCATCTTCTCAGACTAAATGATTCAAAGCAGTAATAGACAATCTGTCACAAATATGACAACTCCATGGCTATCTAATTCAACCACTTCATTTTTTGCAGATGAGGAAACTGAGATCTAGAGAGGACAAGTGGTTTCTCCAAGGTCATGCAGGTGGCAAATGTCAGAGATGAAATATTACACAGGAATAGGGGCTAGACCTGTGATTTCGTTAGAATAGAGGTCTCTGAGATGAGGAAACAATCTCTCTCAATCTAGGTAGGCATCTTCTTAGCAACATAAAGTCTTAGACAGTAGGAGTTGTCTAGAGCATTTGACAGGTTAATTATTTCCCCAGGGTCACATAACCAGTATGTGTCAGACAAAGGATTTGAACCTAGGTCTTTCTGACTTCGAGGTCAGCTCTCTACTCACTGATGCAGGCATCAGAAAATGATACAATAGAATTCATACATACCCTTAGAACTGTGGGTGGCAAACTGTGAATTTTTAGCCTATAACAACAGAGCATAGCTTCAAATAGAGAAATATTAAGAACTCTCCATTTTTATAAATGTTTTTGTTCATTTTCTGTAGCAGATATTTCCAAAAAGAGCAGGAACCATGTTTTTTAAATGTCATATGTTATCCACTCCTAAAATGTGCAACTTTGTTTTCTGGAATAAAATGGGGTCTTTTGTTCATCCAAACTAGAGAAGATAAGGAAAGGGGCAAATTAACCCGATATAACCCAGAAGTAAAAAATCAACAGGCATTTATTAAGCACTTACTCTGTGCCAGGCATTTAATAATAAAACTAATTATAAAATCAAATTACTGTGCAACCAACCTAAATTATATAATCACAAAGCATTTTAAAAAGACTCTTGAATCATGCTGTGGCATTCAAGGCATTGGGAATTCCATTCTCTTTTAGAATGTTCTCTATGGCAACTGGTACCAAGATACAGTAAACTGATGCTTCTTCCCAGGCCTCAGAGGAATATTTTTACATCCTAATTTATAGATGCAAATCATCCTTTCATCAATACATTTCTAGTTGACCAACACACATTATGCATCAGAAACCAGGACACTTTGTTCAGCTGGATAATTGTTGGGTTTGTTATGCGATTGCTATATTGTGTTGAGATTCATGAAAACCTAAATAGTGCTACTTGTGTGCTTGAGGGAAAGAGCTAGTTTTCCCTTCGTAAACAGTTGCCTGTTACATAAGACAGCCTCATCTGAAAGTGGCATTTATCTGAGGATGTAACACTGAGGAGGGAATACGGGCTTTGTTTTATTTTCATGAACTAATTATTGCCAAATCTAAAACGATCTATGTATGTGTTTTTTTATTATTACTATGTGAAATCTGGGACCTTCCTAAATGACCATTCAACAAGATACATACAATGTGTTCCCTTCTCCCTCTAACACAGATTACTTGGATTTGTTTGCCTCAAGATCCCTGACACCCACACAACTTTTCTGTGCTCACACCCTGACTTCTGCCTGTTCCCACTCAAATAGTTCTAATTAGGAGAGCTTGCTTTGCCTCTGGGTCTCTTGAACACATCCCCCTTTCATGCCTCTACAGTTTATAACAGATATACTAATAATATCCAGTCATCTGTGGTATCCAAAAACCCCTTTATGGGAGTTTGCATTAATGTAATGCATTAACTAAAGCTCTGTCAAATAAGGCAGTCTCCTTTAAGACAGCCCTGTATTCCTGGAATAAATAGAGCAAACACTGAAAGGACCTCTGTACCCTCTTGCACACACATCAACTCTACAAACATATTCAGACCCAATTGTGTTTTCCTGAGATCCTTTAACACTACCTTTTCTCCCACCTGTAAACAAACCAGTTGTCCACTATCAAAAGCATATAGAGAAAGAAATGAGGGGAAAATCCATTTTTGATTCTGACTATCAAACCAGTGTTAAGGAACTGGTTTCACTATCAAAATTAAAGTAGTAGTTTTCTCCCCAAATTGCCTGACCTTGTAGCTCTTGGGGGTTTCTGAAAGAAAATCACAGAATTTTGCCATTTCATCTAATAAGTCCTGGTAAGTCAACTATCCTATGTTTCTCTACCTTCTCCATACTCATTTAGTACTCCAGGAATGTATGATTTGATCAGTGTAGTCAAATGAAATAATATCATTTAAAGGTCCAATTAGATGACATACATAAAATGCTTTATAAACCTTGGAGCTCTTTACATGTTGACATAATTATTATCATCATTATTAGCCCCAGGATATTGTGATAATAATATATTATATATTATATTATAATCATATTATAATTACACACAATTATATATGATTATGTATCATATCACAATATAATATATAATATGATAATATATAATACTAATAATAGCATAGGCTTTTAACCTTGGGATCTCTGAATTTTTTTTTTAAATCTCGATAACTTATATTTCAGTATACTTGGTTTCCTTTGTAACTTTACACATTAAAAAAAATATTCATAGGCTTCACTAGGTCACCAAAAGGGTCCATGACACAAAAAAGGTTAAGAAGTGTTGATATAGGGCTTTAAGGTTTGCAAACCACTTAAATATGTGTTGTCATTTGAACCTCACAACAATCGTGTAAGGTAGGTTTTATATGGAAAGCAAGGTACAGAGAGGCCAAGTGATTTGCCCAGAGTCACAGAGATGGATAGAGAGCCCACCAGCTAAGGACACCTGAATTCAAATCCTGCCTCCTGGTACATACTCTGGCAAATCACTTACCCTCTCAGGACTCTAAACAAATTTCTAAGACTCTAAAGTTGAAAACAAAGTCCCAGCTGTATTTGTTAAGTGTGTTTCTTCATTCAAGAGTTCCTTACACCAATGAAATTACTTGTTCCATCCCTATCCCTTTGTTGCTATTGGGTACAACATTCACCATTGTAGGTTGCAAACCCCTAGCCACCAACTCCTTGGAAGATGGCCCTTGTCAGTTGCTGTGGATAAAAATAATTCATCACTCGGTAAGCAGCCCATTAGTAATGAGCATCTAAGAACCAGACTCTCAACCAGTCCTCACATGACAGTTGCACAGCATAGTTTTGGACTCATAACTGAAGCCTTTCCAGCTCCCTGAGACCTATCAGAGTTTGGACTTTGCTACACTGCTTTTGAGAGCCCAGTGTCATCATCTCAATGCCACAATGAAGCAGCCCATGAAGGCTTGAGAATCCTCTCCATATTACCAAGACAATTTTATACCTGTAACAGTAAACAATTACAGTATGTGATAATAAAAAAGATAAGATAGACAGCTTATTAAATTTCTTTAGATCCTTTGTCAGTTTGCTTTTAGGCTTTGAAATTGTAATTTAGAGACAGGAAAGATAGCCACTAGCAAATTATGCAACTTTTCACAGTTCCTCAGAATCAGTCTCATGTCTAGATGTGGATTGGAAGTAAGAGAAGTTACATCTCAAATATTAACCCCCATTCCTTTCATACCCATATCTTCCTTTACTCCCTTAATTTAGGCTGTGACATCTGAACAAAGCTGTTTATAATAGCCCGCTATGAAGAGATAACTCAATGCAAAAAAGTGAAGAAGAAAAAAAAAAATCAGTCTTGCATCACTGAGGAGTGAAGGGAGGGAAATAAGCATTTGTG